GCGTCAACCACCAGAAATTTCACAGTGGTGGTGGCTTGGCAAGGAGGGTCCCCTATAGTGAGCACGAGTTGGATGGATCCCAGAGGTAGCACCCTTTCCCCTCAGAATCCCATTAAGTGAGCACTTACTAGCTCAAGCTTCTCCCTTCCTATACCTATTCTGTCAAAGGCAGAGGCGAAAATGATGTCGGCCAAGCTCCCATTGTCAATTAGAACTCGATAAACCATTTGGTTAGCCATAATGGCCCTGACCACCAACGGGTCATCATGGGGATACTGGCAGCCTTCCAAGTCTGAATTCGAAAAAGTGATGGTTGTGCTAAACCGAGGTATTTTGGATATGGTGTGCACTTCAAGCGCTTTGCCAGCTTTGATCCTGCGCAGGTGTGCTTTCCTGGCTGCACTGGATTCTCTACTGCTAGTGAATCCTCCAGATATCACTCTGATCTCCCCTAAGGGTTGCTGGTGCTGTGCAGGGGCTTGTTGTTGAGGTGCCGGTGGTGGTGGAGCCCTGTTCTGGTTGTCAGGGGCGAAGAATCGTTGTAACTGCCCCCTCTGAATCAAGAACTCGATCTCATTTTTTAGCTAAATGCAATCGTCGGTGTGATGACCATGATCCCTATGATACTCACAATACTTCGTAGGGTCTCTTTTAGCTGGATCTGCCTTTATTCGCGGAGGCCATCTTATGAATTTTTCGTTCTGCACCTCGTATAGGATCTAGGATATTGTTGCAGTGAGAGGGGTGTATTGCTGAGGTGCATGCCTCGGCTGTAGTTCAGGCTGTAGGGGTCCTAAGCGATCCCTAACATTCCCCCTTCTTTTTGGGGATCGCTCTTTATCTTTTCTGGGAGATCTATCTCTCCTTGGAGATCTATTTCTTTCCTTTTCATTATTGGGACTTCTGCTCCTCTTTTTCTCTTCCGTTACCTTATCTCTATGTGCAAAAGAGCTCCCCACCTTAGAAAGAAGAGCTTCTTCACTGTTTATGTATTTCTCTACTTTGGCAAGCACCTCGGCCATGCTTGCTTGGAAATTTTTTGATATGGAGAACATCAAATCTTTAGATTGCACCCCTAGACAAGCTATGAAGGCAGTGATGACAAAATTTTCGTCGGGGACATCCACCTTTAACGATTCCGAATTAAATCTTTGGACATAAGATTTGAGGCTTTCTATAGATTCGAGCCCCTATGAAGTGGGATAAGAAGGAAATGGNATTTGAGGCTTTCTATAGATTCGAGCCCCTATGAAGTGGGATAAGAAGGAAATGGAAAGTTCTTTGAAGGAAGATATTGAGGTCGGGAGGAGCCTGTTAAACCACGCCAAGGCTGAACCTTTCAAAGTGATGGCAAAAGCTCGACAATGTACGGGGTCTTGGTACCCGTGCAACTCCATCTGGTTCTTATAAGTATTGAGGTGGTCCATGGGATCCCTAGTTCCATCGAACTACTCTATCTATGGCATCCTAAACTTTGGTGGGAGGGAAAATACAACATCCCAGGCATGAATGGAGATTCAGTCTGCTGCACCAAGGCGTCCATTATAACCGAAGCTTTGCTTCTGACCGCTTCCTTCATGTGGCTGAGCTCCTGTTAGATGCCCTTGAAGCGTTGCTCCCAATATTGTTCCCTTCTCTCCTGCTGGTAAGGGAAGACATCATTCTTTTCTCCTTCATGGTTTTGACTTTGCATTTATTCATTGTGGCCATTCCTAGGGGGTAGTTGGGGAACTTGCCCCAAGGTCTGGCTGTTCTCCCCTCCTTCGTTGTCTTCTCTAAGTGGATCAAGGTGTTGTTGATCCTTGTGATGGGGACTATTTTGACCTTCTTGGGCCGGACGTATCTCTTGTGGGCGCTGTAAGAGCTTCAAGAGCTCTTCGTTTTGCTTTATCAAGCGTTGATTGACGAGGCGAAGGACCTTCATCTTGTTATTCGTGGGGGGATCCCCCATGGAAAGATCAATTTCTAGGACGTTCTCGGGCTGTCTGCCATTGGTGGTTCCCTGTTGACCCTGTATCCGAGGTGGGTTTGTTTGACTTCTGCTCATGTTTCGTGTTGATACCATCAGTCATTGAGAGATCAACTTATTTGTAACATGAACAATCGTTCCCACAGACGGCGCCAAACTGATGGTGCAAACTAACGTGAGTCAACAGAGTGCATGGGACCAAAGGTGAATCTAGGCTGTGAACCTCGTAATGACAGTGATGAAGTGTTTCTTAGGGGGTAGGAGAATTTGCACAATAGAAACATAGTGGTTCACTGGCTTTGGAGCTCAGCTAATCCACTCTCTAATGGAGGCTCTTGCTTTTTTTTTTCTCTATTGATTACTCGAATGTATTACAGTACAATGCATGATTTAATTAGAGTTCTTCTTCGGTCCTGCCTCTCGATGAGGCGTTACATAGTATTTATAAGACTGCTACCTGATCTATGGGATTTCAGTCGAGATCTTTGCCCATTATTCATGGGATCCTCCTTGATTTTAAAAAAGAATATTGGTTGGTTGAGAGTTTCATACATTGGGCTCAATTTCTACAGTCATCCAGCTGTTTCCTGGTCGGTTCTACTACGATCTCCCCAATGAGAGCTCTACCCCTGGTTCTCTGAGTTTCCTATGTCTTTCCTGACCTCCTAATCTGATCTCCTGACCTGAGCTCACAGTTAGGACTTGTTTGAGGTATCATCAGGACCCATCACCAAAAAATAAGAATGAATAAAATGCACAAAAAGGAGAGAGTATGTGTTATTTATGTATTAAATAACCAAAATGATGTTATTGGTTGTTTCTTCTCCATCTCGACCACCTTCCCTTTGCAAAGAATACCAAAAAAATATACTCATTATACAAACGAAAATGTTCACTCAAGCACTTGAATGCCCAAAATTAAGTAAATAGAATTAAAAAACAAAAAGATGATTGAATAATTTTTCGTTTTCACACAAGTTTACGGAATTGCTATCGATAAACATGAAAGTTGTCGAAATTTTAGGCATTAAAGAATTATGTAACAATGCGACAAGATAAGTAACTCCATATAGTTTTTTTTTGTGTATTTTTCTTTAATGTGTAAAGAAAAAAAAATGTAAATTGGACTTATTCAAAATTTTGATAGCTATTTTTTTGTGGCTTAATCAACATCGACAAGATTCTGGTACATCAGACTATGATATGTGGATGCATTCGCCAATGCAATCAAATTTGCTGCCCTTTTTTTTTTGTTATTTTTTAGTTTTTTTGACTATCTTTCTAGAATCCATTTTTTTCTTTTGTATTTTTTAATTGCATATGAAAATTCATAAAATAAATATATATTTAATGATTTTTTGCAGGTAACGACGTGTCTCTTGATAGAAAAATAATAAGCTTATATATTTGCAAAATGTGCACTATTTTTACTTTTAGAAAAATATACTTTTATTGTGAAAAACAAATCCAACAATAACTTATTCTTCTTCTTTTTTTTACCTCAAAAGGCGAACAATGGAAAAAAAAATAGCTTTAATAGGAATTGTTAGCTAAAACTCCAAATTTTGTTGCATTGTATTTTGTATTTCTTATAAGAGCATCTTCAATCTGGACTTAAATTTAAATTTGAATCAAAATCATTTAAAAAATTTCACCAATATTGGACTTAAACCTACAACAAATCAAAGAAAATTTATTTTAAACCTAAATTCAGAGAGATTCAAATCATATATCAAATTTTTAATGATAACTTTTTATCTTATCCAAACCCAAAAGACTCTTTTAACGGAACAAGTTCTTGCCTCTCTCTACCTCTATATTCAAAGTTGCTTCCATTGCCAATAACACCGAAGCATTCTTGAAGACTAGTATTTTCCATTGCTTCTTTGTTTTCCATCATCTTTGCTTTCTTGTATTTTGCACCGTCTTTGTTTTCCATCTTCCTCATTTTCTTATTTCTTGTGTAAGTGTATATATATATATTCAACATGTGTTCAATAGTTATTTTTGAATAATTTTTTCATCAGTCGAACCTTAGTTTCTGTATTTTATTAACTGTGATCGTGGAGCATATGATGAGGGGGAAAAATTTACATCCATGAAAGATAAGAATGAGGTCCGAAATGGAATTGAAGTTTGGCAGTTTCCTATTATAGAATTTATTTGGGAAATATTGTTATGTTTTTGAATTTTATAATATAAAATATGACTGTTTCAATATATTCATATGACGGTCTCAAATAAACTCATTTAACGATCACTAACATCTCTTTCNATAGAATTTATTTGGGAAATATTGTTATGTTTTTGAATTTTATAATATAAAATATGATTGTTTCAATATATTCATATGACGGTCTCAAATAAACTCATTTAACGATCACTAACATCTCTTTCAAAACCATTCACATTACACTGTACCTTCAGACATAGATTACTCCTATTTTGGAGACGAATAATGACAATATTTCTTCTTTGTTGCCTTTGGTTTTTTAATTATTGGTTTCAAGCTTATTACTTAAATTTATAATATAAAACATGATAGATTCAATAATTTTTTCTGATGGTTTCAAATAGATTCATCTAACGGTCATCAACATCTTTCTTAATACCATTCACATTGTACTGTACCTTCAGTCATGAGTTACTCCTAGTTTGAAAACGAATAACAACAATAGTTCTTCTTTGTTGTNGGTTTCAAATAGATTCATCTAACGGTCATCAACATCTTTCTTAATACCATTCACATTATACTGTACCTTCAGTCATGAGTTACTCCTAATTTGAAAACGAATAACAACAATAGTTCTTCTTTGTTGTCATTGGTTTTTTAATTACTAGTTTTAAGCTTTTTACTCAAATTTAGACTTAAATTTTGAGTCATGATTAAAAATATTATAATATAACCAAATAGGGAAACGGATCACATACGAAACCCGCCCCAAATCCAGTATCCACACCCCAGGTAGGTAAATTGGTTGCACAAAGCCACTCTCTTTCCCAACGGTGATGTCCTAACTCCTAACAGAACATGATTCTAAGACCCACTTTCAGAGGACTCAGACATCTCCAACAATTTCAAATTTTACTTCACACCCAATATTCCAGTCAATCCCAAGCACTTGCCATCACTACCGAGAATCCGCTTTTTGACTCTGAGCCATCAGATTTAACTGTTGCAGACCACTTGTTTGATGAATTTCCCCAAAGAGACCTTTCTCATAACAATCACTTGCTTTTCGAGTATTCTCGCGACTATCGCAGCGTTGAAACTCTGAATCTCTTTCTTGGTATTCGCCGCTCAGGGTCTTTAATTGATGGGTCTAGCCTTTCTTGTATACTGAAGGTCTGTGGTTGCTTATCTGATCAGATTATTGGGAAACAAGTGCATTGTCATTGCATTAAATCTGCTTTTGTGGAGGATGTTAGTGTTGGGACTTCTCTTGTTGATATGTACATGAAAACTGAGAACATTCAGGATGGGAAGAGAGTTTTTGATGAAATGGTGGTGAAGAATGTGGTGTCTTGGACTTCATTGCTTGCGGGGTATACAAGGAATGGTTTGGTTCATGATGCAATGGATATTTTTTTTGAGATGCAAGTGGAAGGAATTAAGCCTAACCCATTTACTTTTGCTACTATTCTTGGAGCTTTAGCGAACGATGGGGCAGTTGGGAAAGGAATTCAAGTGCATTCTGTGGTTATCAAAAATGGTTTTGAGTCAACCATTTACGTGGGTAATTCTTTGATAAATATGTATTCAAAGTCAGGAATGATCAGAGATGCTCAAGCTGTGTTTGACAGTATGGAGAATTGGGACGCAGTTTCTTGGAATGGCATGATTGCGGGCCTTGTCACAAATGGGCTTGATTTGGAAGGGCTGGAGCTGTTTTATCAGATGAGGCTTGCTGGTGTGAAGCTGACGCAAATGATTTTTGCCACTGTTATCAAGTTATGTGCGAATTTCAGAGAACTCTGTTTTGCAAGGCAACTCCATTGCCGTGTTCTGAAAAACTGTTTTGGATTTGATCATAATATTAGAACAGCACTTATGGTGTCCTATACCAAGTGTAGTGAAATGGATGATGCCTTGAAAATGTTCTCTACAATGGATGGACAACAAAATGTGGTATCGTGGACAGCTATGATCAGTGGATACTTGCAAAATGGAGGGACAGAGCAAGCAGTGAATCTGTTTTCTCAGATGATTAGGGAAGGTGTTAGACCAAACCATTTCACTTATTCAACTATCCTTACTGCTCACCCTACTGTTTCTCTTGTCCAAGTACATGCACAAGTCATCAAAATTAATTATGAGAACTCATCTTCAGTAGGAACCGCATTATTAGATGCTTATGTTAAGCTGAGAAATACCAATGATGCTGCAAAAATATTTGAACTGATTGCAGAGAAGGACATCGTTGCGTGGTCTGCAATGCTAGCTGGGTATGCCCAATCAGGAGAAACTGAGAGAGCTGTAAGAGTTTTCGTTCAATTACAGAAGGAAGGGGTTAGGCCAAATGAGTTCACCTTCTCTAGCATCATCAACGCATGTGCTACTCCTACAGCAGTGGTGGAGCAAGGGAAACAGTTCCATGCAAGCTCAATCAAATCAGGATATGATAATGCTTTATGTGTAAGCAGTTCTCTTGTTACCATGTATGCAAAGATAGGTAATATTGGGAGTGCTAATGAAATTTTTAAGAGGCAACAGGAGAGAGACTTGGTTTCATGGAACTCGATGATTTCAGGGTATGCACAACATGGTTATGGGAAGAAGGCTCTCAATATATTTGAGGAAATGCGGAAGAAAAACTTAGAAATGGATGTCATAACATTTGTTGGTGTGATTTCTGCATGTACGCATGCAGGTCTGGTTGGTGAAGGACAAAGATACTTTGATGTGATGGTTAAAGATCTTCACATTGCTCCAACTATGGAGCTCTATTCCTGCATGGTTGATCTGTTTGGCCGTGCTGGAATGCTGGAGAAGGCCACGGCACTCATTAACAGGATGCCCTTTCCTGCTGGTGCAACAGTTTGGCGAACTCTCTTAGCAGCTTGCCGTGTTCATCGAAATGTAGAGCTAGGGAAACTCGCTGCAGAAAAGCTTATCGCACTTCAGCCACAAGATTCAGCCGCTTATGTCCTGCTATCTAATCTATATGCTGCAGCTGGGAATTGGCAAGAGAGAGCGAAAGTAAGAAAGTTAATGGATGACCGAAAAGTGAAAAAAGAAACTGGTTACAGCTGGATAGAGGTTAAAAACAAGACTTACTCGTTCATGGCTGCCGATCATTCACATCCTTTGTCAGATCGTATTTATATGAAACTTGAAGAGTTAAGTATCCGTTTGAAGGATACAGGATATCAGCCTGACACGAATTGTGTGCTTCATGATATTGAAGATGAACATAAAGAAGCTATTCTTTATCAACACAGTGAGAGGCTGGCTATTGCTTTTGGATTAATTTCCACACCTCCTGGCATTCCAATACACGTTTTGAAGAATCTCAGGGTTTGTGGAGATTGTCACACTGTGATTAAGCTAATATCAAAAATAGAAGGGAGGGAAATTGTTGTCAGGGATTCAAATCGATTCCACCACTTCAAAGAGGGTTTATGCTCTTGTAGGGACTATTGGTGACTTTCAATTGATAATTTAGGGATAGGCTCTAGTTTTATGGTTCTACCATATTACTTTTGAAGTGTCATTCGCGTTCTTGAGTCTCATCAGGCGAAGGCATACCCGGTCTATACTATTGCAGAAACTTTGCATTGTTGTGAAGACACATTAGTGAGGCGACATGTAAGTTTTACTATACAAGTGCACATTGTTGTTGGCTGATTCGTGGGTCATCAGGAAAGCTCTGACTGTACATTAGCATTTTTGAGCAAGCTCTTGATGATAAATTTGTATCTTGTACCTGCAAGATCTATCACTTGGATTCTTAATGGTGGTTTTGTCAAAGGAGAATAAGGTTGGTATGACTTTTTGATGAACATGGATGAACGGTAAATTTTAGTCAGAAGTCGAACGATCACTTTTGGGTTCTTTGCACAAGTTCCATGTCTGATGCAAGTCTCATTGTGCAGCCTTCTAAATATAGATTATCGTCCTCGAGTAATCTCTTAAGTGGTAATGGATTTAAATTGACTGTAGACACCGAAGTTTTGAGGAACAGTGAGGGAGGAATGGAGTAATTATGGAAAGTCAGAAGGGGGTCATCTTGATGTCTTCCAAACGTTAAGATTTGGGTTTTGCAGAGGCTGGGACCATGGGTGAGATTCCTGCTATTGATTAATAATGTATCTCATGAAGTCTGGAATAGTTCCTTTATGTTGCTGCTGATGCCACAGCTGGAGGTACGAGGCATTGCCTTTATGTTCGTATGCAACTATTACATTGTGGGATTTTTTGGTCAATTTCCTCCCATATTATGTATGATAATTGTGTTTTCTACTTCACACAATTGTGTAGATAATATTTCCATCATGTCAAACATACACTTTGATTAAAATCATCCAACCGCAGAGTTCTGATGGGATTTGGTGCATTAGTTCTGGGTGATCGCAACAAAACCAATTGTTGTTAATAAGCTGAGAAGTGAGGTAGGCATGTGAATTAATTTGGGAGGCCTTAATTTAACTATGCGAGAACACTCTAATAAAGGCCAAAATAGGCTTGGGGTGTATACATGAATCTTATTCTGCCGTTTGTGCTCCATCTAGTGTCAAATATTGCCATATTTTTTTAAATCACAAACTTTCACATCCTTTTTATTCTCTCACTTAAAGTTAGTTTCGATCTAGCTCTACTCCCGGCATTACCTTTGATAGGCGAGTTATTTACTAGTCTACTGCAATTTTAAAACAGAAGAGGAATATGTATGAGTTAAAGGGATACAAACTAAGTGTAGAGTTCCGTATATATATAGTCAATGAAAGTTACAATAAGGATAAGAAGGTAAAAAGAGAAAACTTAATAAGCCCTGATAAATTAGACTGCTGCTATATTTCCAATACTCCCCCTCAAACTAGGTGCGAAAATGTCAANTTTTAAAACAGAAGAGGAATATGTATGAGTTAAAGGGATACAAACTAAGTGTAGAGTTTCGTATATATATAGTCAATGAAAGTTACAATAAAGATAAGAAGGTAAAAAGAGAAAACTTAATAAGCCCTGATAAATTAGACTGCTGCTATATTTTCAATACTCCCCCTCAAACTAGGTGCGAAAATGTCAACTAAGTTAAGCTTGATAACGGAGTCCAGAAGAATGAATAGAGTGACAAGTTTGGTGAAAACATCTGTAACCTGATCACTAGTCCCCACGAACGATGGAGTGACAATACCACTGCTAACCTTCTCTCGAAGAAAGTAAACATCGATCTCTATATGCTTTTTCCTATCCTATAATACAGAGTCAGAAGCGAGCTGAATAGCAGATCGATTATCACAATATAATGTAGATGAAGAAGTTACTAAAAATCTCAACTCGCCAAAAATCGATCATAGTCAGATAATCTCACATGTGCCAAGTGCTAGTGCCCGATACTCTGCCTCTGCTAACGAGCGAGAGACAACTGACTGCTTCTTGCTCTTCCAAAAGATAAGATGAGTTCTTCGAAAAGCACAAAAGCCCGTAGTAGATCGACCATCACATGTTCCCCCATAATCTGAATCTGAATAATATGCTAGAGAACCAATCTGAGATCCTGATACATAGAAGAACCCAAGTCCAGGAGAAAACTTGATGTATCGAAGAATATGATAAACTGCATCAAGATGAGGCTGATACGGCCTGTGCATGAACTGACTAACTCGGCTGACAGCAAATGAAATGTCTGGTCTAGTGTTAGCTAGGTAGATAAGTCTATTTACCAACCTCTGATAGATAGTCGGATATCTCAACTCCTCACCTTCAGCAGTCAGCTTTAGGTTTGGAATCATGGGTGATGATGCCGGTTTGCACCCCAGCATCCCAATATCTGAAAGAAGATTCAGAACATACTTTCTCTGAGAAAGAACAACACCCGTGCTGCTTCGGGCAACCTTAATCCCAAGAAAGTATCGCAGAAATCTAAGGTCCTTCACATCAAAGACCTTCTCAAGGTCTACCTTGACCTGCGCAGTCCAAGAAATATCATCCCCAGTAATAATAATATCATCAACATATACCAAAAGGATAACACACTGTCCAGAAGTATTCCGCCTACATGACTAAAACGAGAGAACCAGGATCATGGTGACTGTTTTAGTCCATAAAGAGACTTACGCAGTTGATATACCTTTCTAGCATACTCCCCCTCACCACGAAAGTCTGATGGTGCATCCATATAAATAATCTCATCCAGATCACCATGAAAAAAACGCATTTTTCACATCTAACTGATGAAAGAGGCCAAGAGTACTCTGCAGCCAGAGAAATAACCAACCGAACAGTAGTCAATTTTGCCACGGGGGCAAACGTAGCACCAAAATCACGACCTGGTACCTGAATAAAGCCCTTCACCACAAGCCTAGCTTTGTGACGATCAATAGTACCATTCGCAAGAAACTTCAGGATGTAAACCTAGCGACAGCCAATAGGCTTCACCCCTGAAGGTAAAGAGACAAGATCTCATGTATGATTACGCTGAAGAGTGTCCATCTCCGTCTGCATGGCAAGAACCCACTGGGACTTCCGCATAGCCTTCGAAATAAAGCGAGGAACCGGCGTATCTGATAAGGTCATACTATAAGCTCGAAATATAGGAGACAAATCACCATAAGAAACATAAGCAGAGATCGGATATAAAATCCTAGCGGTCCAACCATAACGATCAACTGGACAGCGATCACGTTGTGGATAACGACGCTCTAAATCATCATCCTCTGCTGACAATGTCTCATCAGGTAAAATAACTGGCTCAGTACCTACAATCTCATCAGTATTAACAATAGGGACATCAATATACTCAACAAATTGAGGAGTATTACCTACATCGCCTAAGGTAGAGGGGATATCAGTAGGGGGATGAGAGTGAGGGCGACGAACATAAACCTGTAAAGGAAGAGAGTCTGGTGACTCTGTACTAGAGATGAGTGGCTCTGGAGGAGGAGATATCGATGACTCTGTAGTGATAGTGACCAATGGCTCTGGCTCCGGGGGTAATGGAAAATCAAAGGAAGTATCATCAATTGGAGGTGCAGACATAGGACTGGAAGAAAAATAAGGAATATGCTCAAGAAAGGTAACATCTAGACTGTGATACATACGACGCCTAATAGGATCATAACACCGATATCTTTTAGACTGATTGCAATAGCTCACAAAGACACAACGAATTGTTTTATCATCAAGCTTATGACGAGTAGGAGACCGATCTTGAACAAAATATGTGCATCCAAAAACACGAGAAGAGACTGAAAAAAGTGTTCGCTCAAGAAATAAAACCTGTAAGGGAGCCCTATGCTGAAGAACTCGACTCGGCTTACGATTGCACAGAAAGGTAGAAATCAAAACAGCAAAATGTCAATAAGATTTTGGCACCCCCATGCCTCTAAGCATACAACGTACCATCCCTATCAGACTCCTATTTTTCCTTTTAGCAACGCCATTTTGCTCAGGAGTATATGGACAAGTGAGTTGCTGAAAGATACCTTGAGAAGAAAGGTGAGACACTAAGGCATCAGACACATATTCCTTGGCATTATCTGAACGAAGAACACGAACAATGACATCGAATTGTGTCTTAATCATCTGCAGAAACTGAGTGATTATAGGGAGTACATCGGATTTCCTATGCAAAAGGTAGACCCAAGTACAACGGGTATAATCATCTATAAATGTCANCCAATAAGATTTTGGTACCCTCATGCCTCTAAGCATACAACGTACCATCCCTATCAGACTCCTATTTTTCCTTTTAGCAACGCCATTTTGCTCAGGAGTATATGGACAAGTGAGTTGCTGAAAGATACCTTGAGAAGAAAGGTGAGACACTAAGGCATCAGACACATATTCCTTGGCATTATCTGAACGAAGAACACGAACAATGACATCGAATTGTGTCTTAATCATCTACAGAAACTGAGTGATTATAGGGAGTACATCGGATTTCCTATGCAAAAGGTAGACCCAAGTACAACGTGTATGATCATCTATAAATGTCACATAGTATCGAGCACCTGATAGAGCAGTAACAGGAGAGGGTCCCCAAATATCCGAGTGTAGTAGGTCAAATGGTTTGGGTGACTAGTGCATGCAAGGAATATAACTGGTCCTAATATGTTTTAATAGAAAACATATAACACAGTGAAANCCAAATATCAGAGTGTATTAGGTCAAATGGCTTGGGTGACTGGTGCATGCGAGGAATATAATTGGCCCTAACATGTTTTGATAGGGAACAGATAACGCAATCAAGTTTACCACCAACACAAGCATTACTCAAAGCAGGAAACAACATACATAAATATTTAAAATTTGTATGCCCAAAACGGTCATGCCACAACTGAACAGTTTGTGACGAAAAATCATAACGACAAGTTTTAGGTAAAATACTAGCATGCAAGCTATGAAGAGATAAAGACAAAGTAGGTGATGGAGGTGGAGGTGGAGGTAGAGGTGGAGAAACTGGTGAAACCGGAGGTGGATCACCT